GTTAACCCTATCCCAGAATAAAATGACACCCTATCCCAGACAAAATGTCAAAAAATGATACCCTACCCCAGACCTAAAAGCCGAAAAACCATACCCTATAGGGCGGCACATACCCGTATAGCAAATATAGGGGAGTACCCCCAGGGAATTTGCCATCAGAAATAGGGTTAGCCAGCAACACTCCCAGATCAATGAATTCATTGTCCCATATTTTGGCCTTAATTTTTGGGGACACCCTGTAATCTAACTGGACGTCGACCGACTGGAATCACTCCCTAGGGAATGTTTTATCTGCTGTACTAGCTGGCGCTTTACCTGAAAGCTGGGAGTTAACTTGGTCTACCACTCTTGCAATGACGGTGTTATGGGATGCCTGATGATCAGGTAGTGGACTTGGTGGAGGCACTATTGGGCTCTCATGGCTTGGTTGTCGGACAGTGCTGATCATTGGGGTGAGATTCGCAGTAACTCTGTCGGTTATAGTGGTTACCAACTGCTACAAAACATCTGTGGCCAATGGTGAGCTGTTATTCGGTCTGCCTGTCATTGGCCTGGCTGTTGTTGTGTTGTCTAGTGTGATTTGTATCTGCTCCTTCTTCTATTTCGCTGGTTGTGACTTTGTCTGGACTCTGATGCAGAATTCCTGGTCATTTGACGTGTTTTCGGCATGCTGAAAATAAACAACAGAAAGCACCAGGAACAATGTTGATGTACCGTAACGAAGGGTGGACAGTCGATGCAACCATATCTGGCAAACAAAATGTTGCCGCATCTGAAGGTTACAAAACCTCACCAAAATAATCATAGAAGAAAACGCAAATACATGTATTAACAGTTCAGTGTAACTCGCAAGTCCCAAGTAAAATTGTGTTTTGAAGTGTGTGTAAGGGTGTGTAAGTGTTTGCATATATGTGTACGTGTATGTATGAGTGTCTGCAACTGTGTGTAAGTGTGTGTGAATGTGTGTGTAAGTGTTAAACCCCCAAAAACCAGGTACAATGTGAGGGGTTACACCTCACAACTAAAGTTTGGGGAGTTAAACATAAAAATAATGGAAAATGTGAGGGGTTTAACCTCTAAGTATAAAGAGCGAGGACTTAAACCTCAGCTAAACATCCAAGATACGAAATTTAGGGGAGTTAAACCCCCAGAACAATGATAAATGTGAGGAATTAAACCTCGGGAAAGCGAGGACTTAAACCTCAGCTAAACATCCAAGATACGAAATTTAGGGGAGTTAAACCCCTAGAACAATGATAAATGTGAGGACTTAAACCTCATCTAAGCCTTCGAGATACGATGAGTTAAATCTAGAATCAAGGTTGTAATGAAACAAAGTAAAGTTTGACATCAAAAATATATATAAGCATACTATAAATAATGTACAAAGCGAGGTGTTAAACCTCGAAGTATAAACAGCATACTATTCAAAACTAAAGAGTTAAACCTCGATTCAAAATATGCCCCGTGAACTAGTTGATTATAAAATGGGGAAATTAAGGACGGTGCCTACTATTGTCCACGCGCACACGTACTGCGCATCTACATTCGAGGAATTTCAAGATTTATTACTCGAATTACAGGAAACAAAACGTTTATTTTCAATAAAAGTTAAAGCAGAAAACGATCTTAAAGGAGAACCCCACACTCGATCCATGGCTTACTCAATTAAAAGTTTATTATATACTTATCTTTTCTACAAAGCCTTGACTCCATAGCATCAAGTACAGCAGAGAAATAATTTACGAAAGACACGAAAAATCCGAGCATGGCGGTCGCCATTTTCAATTGCCTTCTGAACGCGCAACATACTACTGGTCAGCGGCGTGTGACGTCACTGCGCGGTCTATCAACTTTCGACAGTCAATATTTGTTGATTGTTGGACAAATATTGACTTTCTGTGTTGTTTTTTTTGCTTGTTTTACGAGCCAAAACTTCAAAACATTAACGATGAGTAGTAGTTCTTCTAGCGATTCGAGTTCGGGAAGCGTTTTTGGCGATTATTTTGAGAAAATTGAACAGCAGGAAGGACTTATTCAAGGTTTCATGTTCGAACCAAGACGCATCGTGGACGATTCCTCAGAGTCGGATATCTCGTCAGATTCATCAAACTCTGCAACTCACGACAACCGTTTGCAAAATTCAGATTGGTAAGCACTTTTTTTAGCACTTGAAGCATTTATTGCACTGATTTTCGAGTTCAAGCTGAAGTTTACTTTACATTTTTTGTCAATTTATTCACCAAGGTGTCAAAGCGATAATTGTCAAATAATGGATAGAGAAGTCGAGTGTCTTTGCTGCCGTGAAATCCCGCAGATTATGGAAAAAAACCGTCAAGTCGTTGAAGAGGAACATCTTGCTGAGCCACTGCGCTGCATAACGGACATTCCAGGATTTAAAGCTGTGTGTCTGAACCGTTGGGTTTTGGATGCTGCCTGGTTTCACTATCGTCAGCAATATGGTGCCGTTCACACTCCAGAGCACAAAAGGAATCGACACGTAGCATATCGTGAGTTAGTGAGATGGTGTTGGGGTGTCTTAGGAAAAGAAATTCGAGTGGTTTTGCCTTCATGTGCCGTGATGTGCATCCGTGCTCACTTTCCTCCACCTGGTCTTGAAGATGACTTCGAATTCTCTGGTTT